CCCGGCGTCAAAGTTGGCGACCTAGTTTGCGTCCTACGGGGCGTAAACGTGCCTTATATTCTGCGTCCCAAAGATGAAGACGACCAAGGACCGATGCAGCTGGTTTGTCTTTCGTACTTGCATGGTTTCATGGCTGGGGAGGCTATCACCTGTGGAAAGTATGAGGAGAAATGGTTGCAGATTGTTTGAGGAGCCGTGGATGGGAACCCATTCAGGTACACGAACATAATTTTCTCCGAGGAGTACCTGATCACCGAACGTGTAGTACGGTTAGCAGTTAGCACCCGGCAAGCCGTACAACCCTGACTTACTCCAAGTGGAGGACCTCATGGCACAGACCCCTTGAAGTCGAAGGATGAACACGTGGGGTATGTTCCCTCGCTCCACGCCTGAAGTCATCTTCGTATCTTAAAATGGTGAGGGTTTTGGGATTGTTCAGCAACAAAGGATCTGCAGGTGCATGTGGAAGTGAATATAGTTTGAAGGACATGGTGTCAAAACGCAGACTCGCAGCAATTGTTGACCGATTGAGGGAGAAGTCAGGATTGGAGGTCAGCGGGAATGCTGATCATGTTATAGTCACGACTGCTGAACACTGGCAGTCGAGCCAGGAGCTGTAGGGGCGTGGACTTTCAGTGGTCAAAGGGCGTTGGGATTTCCCACATCGGTCGGGAATAAGGAGCACTCGACCAACTACCATCCATCAGTGCCGCAAAATGGATGCACACTTTTTACAATCTGCTACGGTTTCTTGGCTTGGCTCGTTTGTGCGCGAACATTCGTAGGGCTGAATGTCTCGCAATTGTCTGGCAAACATTCAATCTTCAATGGCACTCAAACGACTCCCAATTGCGCCCGGATAAACTGCCGAAGAAATGACTATTGGGAATCTTCCCGTCCTGCCGTTTCAACCCTCCCTCCTCAACCTTATCACGTCCACCTCACCCATTTCACCCCATCATCCTCTTCAGTCCGCCATGCGACCACTCTCCAGAGTCTCTGCTGCCAGCCGTCGGCGATCCTCACTCATTCATGCAAACTGCAACGCCACGCCTACCCCGGCTTACCCTACATCGGGTGCTGGCCTCTCGCTGACTGGTGATCCCGGCATGGCTTGCAACCAGTAAGCCAGTCAAAACCGGTGCGACCACACCTCGTCATACCCTTCCTCACTCACGATTCGACGGTAGCGAAGGGGCGCATGTCAGCCCGCAGGACTTAATACACTCAAGCCCAAGCCACGCATTACGGCAGCCCCCACCACCACCACCACCACAACAAAGAAGAAGCTTATTTGTCGCGAGTTTAAAGGGTTTTGTGAGATCCTATCGGCGAGGATCCGTAAGATACCCCCCGGACGGGCGAATGAAGGTAGGAGGAATGGGAAATCTTTTCCCAGGGATGGGACGGTACAGCAGATGGAACCCGCAGAAGTGCAGAAGCGCGGAGCCAGCGACAAGGCAACAGCAGAGGGGAGTGGGCACAGTCAGAAAGGTGGTGTGAGTGTGACGGGTTTGATGAAAAAGCTGACAGCATCAGCACCCACGCCGGACTCGCTGTTGGCTGGTTTTTACCAGAGATAAAGGGACACAGCATACAGAAATGCCCGCCGCTAGGGGCACGACTTTCCGAGGTTTCGAAATTCGAATGTTGTCCCTCGCTTGAGGACGTGACACGAAGTCGAGGGATTGGGCAAAGTAGCGAGAGGCTCCCGGGCCAGAATCAGCCACATCGACGACCCGTCCCATCCCTCTGGTCCTTATTCAACGGCACCGGGATGTTGTTGCGTGTTTGCCTGGCTTTCTCTTTCTCTTCTTCATTTTTGCAACTTTACATCACATATCTCTGTCTGTTTCATCTCCCGTTCGATGTGACGGCGGTATTCAATCTGCCGGATCTGGACTCGGCATTGAGCGCGATTTCATCACTGTCGTCTCGAGATCTCATAACTTGAGGTGATCTTCACATTTTATTCTCACTCTACATACGGCCGATCAAAACGAAGAGTTTGGGGGAAGCGTGACATACAGATGAGCAAGATGGCTGGCTTTACTTGGACATCAACATGCAGGACATTGCTTCTTCTCCTCGGATATCTGATCGAGACGTCCCTCGCCCAGTTCGATCCCATCAAGGATTTTTGTAGACGATTCGGACATCAATCAGCGGTGGTTGATGACAAGCTTTATGTCGATGGCGGTCTGGTCAACTGGAAGCCGTACTCTGAGACGTCGGCGAACATGAGCAGTCAGTATCCCTCCCACACTTCCATGACCCATCAGCTACTAACGACAGACAGACCAATTCCTCCTCTACAGCGACCTCAAACACGAAACCGAAGGAATGCCCAACGTCTACGCCAATCTCTCCAAAAACGCCACGATCCCTAGCGTCAGCTTCGGCATCTTGTGGGAGGACTCCATCAACAAGTGGCTCTACTCCTACGGCGGCGAGTCGCAGTCCACAGCCCGCAACTTTATCCTCTACGGGTACGACATCCTCAACAACTACTGGACCTCCTTTGGCCCTCCCTCCAGCAGCGGATCCATCACCCCTCTAAGTCACGGAGCGGGAGTCTCCATCTCCGAGCGCGGCGAAGCGTTCTACTACGGTGGTTGGTTCAGCGAGAACTCTGTCCCCGGCTGGTCAGGCACTCGCCGGGCATCCGACAGACTGATTAAATACGACATGGACAAGCGCGAGTTCAGCAACCTCACCGGACCAGACAATGTCAGACGCGCCGAAGGGACCATGGTATATCTCCCCATTAGTGATGGCGGGATGTTGGCCTACTTTGGCGGGGTGAGGGATGTGAATGGTAACGGGACTATGACGCCGCAGCCGCTGGATACGATATTCATGTACGATCTGGCGAATACGAGGTGGTATACCCAGAAGACGAGCGGGAGGGCTCCCGAGGATAGGAGACTGTTTTGTGGAGGGGCGGCTGTTGCTCAGGATCAGTCGAGTTACAACATGTACGTCCCCCCTTTCCCCTCTTTTCGGGCGAGTGACTGACATTCGCAGATACATCTACGGCGGCGCCTCCTTCGGCGCCAACCCCATCGGCTACGACGACATCTACGTCCTCTCCATCCCCTCCTTCACCTGGATCCGCTCCCTCTACCCGTCCAACTCCAACGTCACCGGGCCCTTCCCCAAAGCCATGTCCTCATGCAACGTCGTCAACAACGGCTCCCAAATGCTCGTCATCGGCGGGCGCGCCATGAACGACACATCAAGCTGCGACGCAGACGTGGTAATGGGCCAACACAACATGGTTCTCGGCAAGGACAACCCGGAATCCGCAATCTGGGCCCGTTTCCAGCCCGATCTAACCACTTACACCCTACCAACCGACATCGTCACCGTCGTCGGCGGCGCTGCAACGGGTGGCGCCACCTTCAAGGCGCCAAAGACAGGGTTCGACGCCCCAGACATGTCCGCCTTAATGACGCGCAAACCTCGCCTAGCAGAACGTACCCCCACCCGAAACGTCACCTTCCCAACCGCCACCACCACTACCGCTCCCAGCCGCGACCCAAAATCCGGTTTGAGTACAGGCGCCATAGCCGGCATCGCCGTCGGCGCTTCAATAGCTGGTATTGGGTTACTAGCAGGTCTCTGCCTCTTCTGCATCCGCCGTCGACAAAAGCATTATAAACAACCCCGCGTTGCTGCTGTGACAGGAAGTAACCCGGCTAGTCCGATGACGCAACATCAGCATCCGGGGATTGGAACGGCGCCGGGGTCGAGTTGGGATGGGCCGGGTGGGGCTACGATTTCTAGTCCGACGTTTAGTAGTGCACCGACTTATAATACCGCTGCGGCTAGTGAACTGCCGCCGAGTTCGAATGGGGGACATGGGCATGGACATGGGTATAGGGGGGTGAGTTTGGCGCCGCCGGTTGAGTTGCCGGGTGCTGAGGCGGGGTATGGATATGGGCATTGGGAGGGGGGGAAGCCGAAGACGGGGACGGGGGTGGTAGGGGGGGAGATGCCGACAACGCCGGCTAAGACCACTGCTGGTACGGGAAACGGGTGGAATGCGACGACGCCGTCAGATTTGGGACCAGGCGAGGGAGACGACATCATCTCTAGAGGGGGTGTGTCGCCTAGTTTGCCTAGTCCAGGGAATGGGACGGGGGATAGTGGGAGGTTTGGTGGTGGTGGTGGTGGTAGTGGGGGATACGGGGGAGGTGGAAACGGGGGACTGCCGCCTTATAGTCCGAGTGGAGCGTATGGAGGGCCGCCTGGGGGAGGCACGGGAGGGAGGTTTGAGGAGGATTTTGGACATGGGGGGAGTTATAGGAGGTGAAGTTGGGAAGTGGAAGATAGGGAAGCAAGATGGGATACGAGGTAGGAGCGGCTTGTGCAGATAGGGGAAGACGGGAGGAATGGAAGATAGAGGTGCACTGGGGGGAGGCAACTTGGGAATGAGAGTCATGTTCACTGCACCAAGGAACATGAGGTGGGGAGATGGTAGACGGACGATGGCAGGCCAGGAAGCAAGGAGCGAAAGAAGGAATTATCTGGAAAGCAATTGGTCTTGGGCTTGGTCTTGGGTTTGGAGTTTGGTCGGTTCTCGGAAGGGAAGGAGTTATGAGCGGGCATTGATGTTTCCTTGGATTGGCTTGTGAACTGGGTTGAGACATTGGGAAGGAGCTGCTTGTAGTGCTGGAGGATGGGGGGAAGTAATGAGAGGAAGGGATAAGTGAGCTGTGATGATATATAGAATGTATGTAGGCTGGACAATGCAAATCTTCCTTTGAGCTTGTCTTTATCGTTCTGTCTACTCAACTCTGTGTGTAGCTGCGACGGTGATTGATCGCGCTGCGGCATTGAACTTGTTGCAACGTGCATTGTCTGAAGCTATGGTAGGTAGTCCTAGGTAAGCAGGTTTTCATCGTGGCCCAGCGGCTGCACTGGGCGTATGTCTGGGGCTCGGGCATAGGTTAGGTTGGGGGGTTATAAGCAATAGGTTTAGGTGCCAATTGCATGGCCCGTTGGTGTAATGGGTAACACATCCGTGTATTCGACAGGGCGGCGAAGGTTCTTCGACTGCCTCGCGCGTACTTGCTACCTGAGCGGAGGATACCGGTTCGATCCCGGTGCGGGTCATGCTTTTTTTGTTTTTAGTTCTTGTTTGAACTAACTAGGGGGTAGAGAGATGGAAGAGGAAGTTAGGAGGGGTATTGGGATTGAGAAGTAGGGAGGAATAAGGAGATGATGGATGGACAACGAACTGGGAAAATCATGCGGATTGCAAGAAGGGGGGGTGTTGGAGTTGAAGGTTTGGTTCGCGGCAGGGTAGGGAGCGAGTTGTGATTGAATGGTGTCTTCATGTCATTTGCTTGGTGAATGCTGGGAAAGAGCTGTCTGTCTGGTTGATGGAAGGGTCATAACAGAGTACTCCCGTCGGTCCTGGTCATGATGAAGCACCACAGAGTTTTCTTTTGTTTATTACAACTATTCGAACAACATAGTGGTGATTGAGTGTCTCGTTGGCTCTGGTCTCTGTCTCTTTGTGATCCCCTTGTCTTGGCAAGTAAACAAACACTCAGGGGTATGTAGACCCACATGCTTCACCCCTTGCCCCCTGCGTGGTGCATTTTCTCACTCGACCCCTTTTGCCCGCTGTTTACCACCCCTTGCTTTCACTTCGTCCTTTTCTTTACAATGTTAACAATCCGCCAACTCTTCTTCTCTTCTCCAAACCACCCAACTACATCACTCTAGGTAGAAAGTCGCCTGCCCATCCCCCGCCCCCGCAGTTGCCACGGTCAAACCCCCACCACTCCCCGTCAACTTCAAAAACTGCCCCGTCACTCCAACCGCCTCAAACGACACCCCCTTCCCATCCGCCAACCCCTCCTTCCTCGTCCAACTCGCCTCGTTCTTAAAGGTTGCCGAGGAGCTGCTAGAGCCAGCATCGAACCTCACCGCCGTCCCGCTCCTCCTCAGGTATGTCCCCGGTCTGCTGGCCGACTCCAAACTCACAGTACTCCCTCCCGCCAAACCCGGTGTCACGATCCTAAACAACTGATCCCCCAACGTCGCACTCCCACTCGGTGCAGTCCCCGAATAATACCTCACATACACCCCCTCACCAGTAGCAGCAGCAGCCGACCGCAACCTCACGGGCGTCTGCCCATCCGGCACCGGAATCCCCAAATCCGGCGTCCCATCCGCTTTCCAATAGATCTTTTGAACCCGGGTACGACGGTTGGGATCATTCAACGGATCCCCCGTAATATCCGGATACTCCCTATCATGAAACACCAACACATCCGACAGCCCATCTTCGGACACCGTAAAGCTGTTATGTCCCGGGCCGTACTGCTTCGTGTTGGCGTTGCTGACAAAAACCGGTGTTTGGGACTTGGACCAGCTGGCAGCATTCAGCAGGTCGGCGTTGAGGTTCGCCGTGAGTAGGCCCATGCAGTAGTTACTATCCGTCGCGCTGGCTGAGTATGTCAGGAAGATGCGTCCGTTTCTTTGCAAAGTGGCGGGGCCTTCGTTGACTTTGTACCCTACTCGTTCCCAGGAGAGGAGAGGGCGGGAGATGACGGTCGCGGGACGTTGGATTGTCCAGGGGTTTATTAAGCGGGCGATGAGGAGGGAGGAGTTTTCGTCTGTCCTGCTGGGTTCTTGTTGAGCCCACACCAAATACCTAGTCCCATTCACCTCGAACTGATGGGCATCCAGAGAGAAAGTGTCCCAGTCGGTGTTGACAAGTCCCTTCTCAGTCCATTGTGCAGTTTGTGGGTTGGGGCCAACACCTTCGAGGACGAACGCGCGGATGCGCCATTGGTTGGCGACCCCCAAAGCGACGTAGATGTACCATTTCCCGTCTATGTGATGGAGCTCGGGGGCCCAGACTTGGTTGGAGCCGATGCCGGAGGATTTGCGACGCCAGATGGTGGTTTCGGACGCGGAGGAGAGGCCTTGGATGGTGGGGGAGCGGCGGATGATGATGCTGTCGTAGGCGGGGACGGTGGCTGTGAAGTAGTAGAAGCCGTCGGTGTGTTTGGTGATGTGCGGGTCGGCGCGTTGGGGGATTAGGGTGTTGGTGTAGGAGACTGGGGGTGAGATGGAGGCGGAGGTGACGGCGAGGGAGATGGAGGGGGAAAGGAGGAGGAGGAGGGGGGAGAGGAATTTGGTCCAGAGCATCTTGCTGGGAAGGTACCGGGTGCTGGTACCGGTGACTTTGATGCTGTGGAGAGATGTGATCGGGAAGCTGGGATTCTATCATGTTGGTAGTCGAGCTTTATGTACAAGATATCTCGGCATTTGCCCCTGACCCCTGTCAATCAGCGGCTATAGCAGATCTTGTTTACATCATGCTCCCCGCAGTATGGTTGTATTCTCAATCGGTTTCCCGGAACCAGGGCGAGGACCATGCAAGATGATTGGCGCGGCTACAGGAGGTCGTTGAAACATTGACTTATTGGAGGAATGGGATTGTCCGAAGCTGTATGAAGAGCTTGAAGCTCCAATACCAACATAATTTACCAGCGGCGATGCACTGCAGCATCGACCTGCCCCAACAACGCTAGAGGTACTCTTCATCTTCCAACTTCTAAATTTCTATCAGGTTGTTTCTCATTTTCGAATCTCCTTCAACAGTCCAATTGCCATGTACCCTCTGCACCCAGCCCACAAATTGGAGATACTTCACACGCCAATCAGCCCAAAGCATCCAAAGCCTATTCCCAAGGATGCCTTTATGTGCTCTTGAAGCAGGCTTCAGCCTCCTGTGCGACATACTCACCCAAAGTACATGCCTGTTGGGTCATACAGCTCAAGATGCGCATAAGGATCAGAACCCAACCTTTTGATCGGTCTGACCAAGAGTCCCAACGTTACGTGGAGATCGCCTTTGTCCGAGAACACAGGGTCTCTGAAACTGAATGTTCCCGAGCCTGGCAACACCACCCGTTTTTTCTGCTTGATATGCGCAGCAATGGCGTTGCCGATGTGCTTTTCCCGCAAAGCGTCTTGGAGCTCACTCTTGACGGCATCCCCATGGCTGTCGCTGCCAAAGAGCTGCGTGAGGAGACTAATGAGGTTGCTATCCAGCGTGTCGGTCGCAGAGACACTGTCCGTCTTCTCTTCGGGCCCACGCACGATGAGCGCGCCATCTTCAGCGACAAGCATTGTAAACTCAAGCGTCAGTTGTGCTTCACCGCTTTTGGCGTTGATTAATGGGCCGTGCGATGAAGATGTTGTCGAGCCAGATTCGAGCTTCATCTTCGACGTCAGGATGATCTTGTTCGTCCGTGGTGAAGTGGTGAAGTGAACATCAAGTGAACTGGTCTTCCACATGCTCAGGTATAGTCCCCGGAACGACTCTCCTCCCCTCCAGCTTAGCTTGGCCTCGGAATCATTGATGGTCCACGTGGCGTTGGGAAGAACTTCCTCCTTTGGCTGGTCGGTGAGTACCCATTCCTTGTTTCTCTGGCCCCCGACAATCTTCATCAAATCGTTCAGAAGCTCGAGGAAGAACACGTGGACGTCGCTGAACACCCCGCCAGCGATGTATTCTCGAAGGAAGTGCGTCCTGCTCAACGCCAGCGCGGCGGGCATGTCACCAGTGAGAATGTTGCCTTGCTCTGTGAACCCAGCACGTGGAAAGCTTTCACCTCCGGTCATTTCCAAGAACAAGAGGGCGTTTCTGGAACCTGCTGGTGCCGGTGTCTCGTTGGCTTCTTCTGGAATGTCCCGGCAGTGTTGGTATCGGTAATTCTGAACCCTGACAGCCGTCGGGGGGACGGTCGGTGCTGTTGTAGGATTTGGCTCTTCCTGTTGGATGGTATATCCGAGGGTCAATGCATGTGGAAGTTCCTTGAGCTGCGTCATCCAAGTCTGTTTCAGATATTCTTCCAGGGAAAGAGGTATAGAGCCAACCCTGTTGGCTGCCCCTGGGCTAGGTGCAAGTTGCAACTGAATTATGTCGGAACAACGGGCCGAGGCAAGAGCCAAGAGAACCCGGCTGAGGCTGTACCTCCCGGGCTGCAGGCTTTCCTGTCTTTGCTGTGCGTGGGGATCATTCGGGTCGAGAAGATCGTGCATCATCCCTTCGCCGTAGTTGACTCGGAACTGTATCCTCAATCCCTTCAAAAGAACTTGTTCGCCAGGCCCAGTCGTAGAGACTCTCTTGAAATAGCCTCTTTCGACGTCGAGATAAAACCACGAGCTCGTAGTGTCCGTGGTATTGTCGGTGCAGACTTCGACGGTGGGCGGGCCAATTTTGGCGCTGAACTGGATACCCGAGTCGCGAACTTCATGGTTGATGGAGAGAAGTTCATCTTGCACCTCTGGATGAAACCGGGAACTAAGGTGACTGTTGATTTCCTAGATACCTCGATGCGTTAACCGCTTGGAATCATCCTCAATAGGTAGATTCCAGTGGACTGAACTTACATCTTGCGAAATGGCTATAATTTGGTGGATACCTTGAAGGTCGAAGTCCTTCATCCGAGAGTCAGCTTCGGTTGAGGCCATTGCTTCCATCAATCATTCCCGCGAAGTGCGGGTTATTTGGGACTTCAAAACAAAAACAAGCAGTCAAGATGAGTGCAGAGTGTCGGAAGAAAAGAGCTGGAAGAAGACATGGACAACCTGGTCCCGGGGTACGGTAGCGCGCAGACTTGGAGGTGTTTCTGGCCTTGAATTTCAGTGCGTGTGTGATTGTGGGGATGATGAAGTAATGAAGTTACAGTAGCTGAGATGTGACCGGTTTGATGTGCAGAGGCATGAAAGAGGTACCCGTAAATATATCACTTTGCATGGTTATATCAACGTATTCGTGGTCACCCCATCCGCTTTCAATCATAGTGGAGATTAGGAGATACATCATGGACGCAACTTCCTGAACCAGACCTCTGGAGGAAAGTCCGCTCGGGCTCAAACTCCATTCACCATTTACCCACCACGGATATGGCTGCCAAATATTACAATTGTGTCTATTTCCGCTCCTCTCTTTATGGTTTGGGCCAATTCCTTCAAGTGACAAAACTGGTCAAAAAAGCGTGGATGCTGGGCAGCTTCTGTGATACTTGCATCGAACAAAACATCATCGCCTCGCTAGATGCCTGATTGAACTATGGAAGATTGGT